GCCCCCCAGGACCACCAGCCCCTCCTGGGTAGGTTCTTACCATAGAGCTGGCCGGGGCTGCCGTGCTCTGGGGAGCCTGGAAGAGAGAAACACCATGCCACAGCCCTCCAGTGCCAGGGGAGCGCAGAGGGCAGAGCAGCATGGACCTGCCTGCTCTGCCCCCACCTACCTCCATCCCCCTCCTGCCAGGAGCATCCAGAGGTGAAGAGCCGTGGGCCTGTGGCAAAGGGGGGATCAGGGACCCTATGCGTGGCAGGGTGTCCCAGCACGGGCTGCAGCCCCCCAAAACCACAGAGCAGCCACAGAGCAGCCATGAGGGCCTTACAGAGCAGAGCAGAGTCAGGAGGGGGATCAGGGAGGTTTGTCTGGGCCCTCACCGATCTCCACATCCACCTCCTGGCTCCACACCTCGTGGAAGAGGTTGAACACATGGCAGGAGTAGCTGCCCCGCTCGGCCGTTGTCACCAGCTTCACCTGCCAGCAGGATGGAGCAGGAGGCTGGGGCAGTGTGCCATGCCATGCCATGCCATGCTATGCCAGGGGTCCCACCATACCTGGAGCTGGGGTGCCTGTGCCCCCTCCACGGGACGCCGGTTCCTGAACCACTGGTACTGGGGCGGAGGGTTGCCGATGGCTCTGCACTCCAGGGTCAGCGTGTCCCCCTCGGCCAGGCGGCACGGCCGCGGCTGCCGCAGGATCTGCAGCCCTGCCATGGTCGGGCAGTAGCCACTGGCTGGGGAAGGGACAGGGTGGGAAAATCAGCACCTGGACACAGCAGTGCCTTGCAAAGCTGCTCCCAGGCTTCATCCACAGGCTCTGGCACCCACAGGTGGCATGAGCCAGTGAGCACAAGGAAGACTCAGGGTAAGTGACTCCTCTGTGGGCACCATCACCCCAGCAAGCCCAGAGACTCTCGTGGCTGAGCCAGGGCATGACAGGGCAAGCGATGCCCCTTGGGAGCCACCTCCATCCTGATGGGGCTGCCCTGGTCCCTGTGGAGCAAGCAGTGCCCCGTGTGTGCCAGCCCAGGGATGCAGATCTCGGGTCCCACCTGAGTTGGGGCTGCTGCTCTTCTCCACCTGGACACGGGCCCACCTGGAGAAGGTGAAGGTGGCCCCACAGTTCACCCGGCAGATGTACCACTCAGGCTGGCCCGGGGCGGCCGCGTCGACCAGCAGCTCTGGGGACGTGGCTCCAGGCACCTATGAGACAGGAGGGGCCAAGGAATTGGGGGCTCCTTCTTACCCACGTGGGTGCCCTCACCACGGACAGGGCGCCCGGGCTCTGCTCTGTGTAGGCTGTGGGACCTCACCTCCTGCTTCCCACAGAACCACTGATACGCCAGCCCTGGGGGACCGGTCGCGCAGCAGGTCAGGAGCACCCGGGTCCCCTCTGCCACCAGCTGGGACTCTGGCTGCACTGTGATGCGGATCATGTCCTGGACTGCAGGAGAGGAGAGACCAGACTGGGCTGGTGGGACCT